GGAGGCGAGTGAATCGATTGACCTGAAAAACGACTTTCGCCAACCGACGAAACAGGTGAAAGTTCAAGCCGAAGAAGCTGCAACACTTGCCGCCAGCAACAAAGTCGTTGTAGAGACAGAGAGCGCGCGGCCAAGATCAGCTTAAGACCATTTTGCAAGTTGTGGCAAAGGCAGAAACATGTTGAAGGTGTTTTCTTTAGCGCGTGTCATTTTCAATCTGGTTGTTCCTCTTCTGCTTGCGAAACTGGTAGATCCAAGACTTGAGACCAGACGTGCTTGGTTCTGCGAATGTGTTTTGTGTTTCTTGTTTCATTGTTTTGGTTTGTTCGTCGCGCTGCGCGTCGCTCGTCTCTGTAGGCTTGAAACGCTTGGAGACTTCATTGGAGGAGAAGACCACCGAGATCTCCCAGGAGAAGACCACTTCGTTTAGCGTACAAAAAACCGCAAAGCAACAAGAAAGAATGTAAAAATGTTTGTTTTTCACGCTTCAATTTCTACAAAAAAACATCTCTTAGACACTTACAGTACCTTCTTCCGATTCTTCCTTTTGACACTGCTTTTCGACGTCGAGGTCAAGGAAGAGCTGATGGCCTTGAAAACGGCTTCGGCCAAGCAGCAGGTGACGTGGTGACATGGAGACAGTGACAGACCATGTCTTTCTTGTGGCAGGAAGAGCTGCATGAAGCTGAAGGTGAGTTGACAGACCAACTGTGAACCGTAGGCGAGACGGCGAGAATTCAGATTCTGAACCGTAGGTCGTTATCAGCAACTCTTGAAAAACACCGCCATGCAGCAAGCTCCTTAGATGACAAGCCACGTGCAATCGAAGCACATGTCCTTCATTGCCTTCTTTCTGAACCATCACTGCTCTCTCTCTCTCTCTTTCTCTCTCTCTCTCTCTCTCACTCTTTCGGTTCCCAGAAGATCCAACTCCGAATGGATGCCACGAGACGCCTTGTTTTCGATGCCAGTTGGGCTAGGCTGGAGGTGGCAGCGAACGCAGTGAGTATTGTGGGCATATTGTTTGGCAAGGCGGACACACACAAGATGGGCAGCGGACGAGAATTCTGCGATCAAAGAAACGTTGGTGCCATTCGCAGTGGTCTGCATTTTCCGGAAGGTGCCAGAGATGCAGCAAAGAGCAGAAAACAGCAACAGCGCAGAAGGAACACGTAGTTTGGCCGCTGCTTTGCTGCTGACCTATCGCTTTGCTGCTCTCTTGACGCATTGCTGGTGACTCGGGACAGGGGTGTGTGAAATAATACGTACAGTGTTCTTCGTTTTTTTGGGTTAGTGCATTTCTCAAGGCTCCATGCTGTTCGACCGCATTCCCATGCGGCGAACGGTTAGGCGCGAACCTTAGGTAGTGTCCCTTGCGCATGGTAGGGACACCGCCGTTTCTCTGGATTGCTGGCGCCCTTCTCGCGGCGACGTCGGATTCTGCGGGAGCCTGGCTGGCGCAGGAGGCTGAGACTCCGACGCCAAAGAGCCAGATCCTTTCTCAAGCGGGTGAACTTAATAAATTGAGAGCGGTGGGCAAACACAAAAGGGCACGTGTGAGGAAAGCAGTGGATCTGTTGACCGTCCATCACGGCTCTCACGTTCCAGCTACAATGAGTCTACAGAATCAGAAATGGGAACGCAGACACTGCAATGTTGTGATGACATACATGCAGGTGCGTTGTACCAAATGTCATGGTTGGTGGGAGCAATGCAACCGTGCCAAGTCGCGTTCCCAGTCGCAGAGAAAGAGGAGGGCTACCGTATTCCAGCAAGAATTAGAGCTATTCGAAGAAGGACGACGCCAAGCCATCCGAACCCCAGGGGTCTATGCTGCCTTCATTTGTGAAGTGGGATGGACTGGGACAACCATGGCAGAAGTCAACACCAGACGGAAGGCTGGCAAAGGTCCAGGCAGAGGAGACTCTCGAACTCCCACCGCCACCACAATTGCCACCACCTCCCAAACCGGACGACGAGCGCAGGAGGTGGCGCCAGAGGCCAGGGCTCACATCGAAAGCTTGCAGAAGAGTATGGGATCGGCGTTCATGCCCAAATTGGAGCAGGACATTGTGGCTGTTGCAAGGGCCAGTCCCAAAGCCCCAAAGCTGGAGATCACGCACAAGCAAGCACGGCATCAGTACGATGCGGCCAAAACTCATTTGAAGGAAGTCGATGGCAAATGGGTTCAGTTCAATCAGGGCTTGCAGTTGGCATACAACCTCGAATACGAGGACTACCGCAAGAAGCGGGAGGCTGCTATCGAAGAGGTGAAGGTGAAGAAGCAGAAGCTGGTGGACATTCAGGAGCGCGTCCGGACATTCGCACTTCAACAACGTGCAGGGGGACGACGCCCCAAAAGGTGCAGAGGCGCCGGAGCTCAAGTTCACAGAGCCTGTCGATCTAGAATCGGACGAAGAGCTCATGAAGGATGCGGAGATGGAACATCACAAACCGACATTTGGTCGGGTCCAGAACTCACCGACTCGGCAGGCAGACCATCAGCTATAGGCGGGATTCAGAAGAAGGTGACGCCAGAAGTGGCAACCGGCCGTTGAGCTTGGAATGGACAGTTCAATCATCCTTGGGGTTTGGAAGACTGTTGTTTTTCTGGGTGTTGATTGGCTTTGCGGTGTCGTTATGTGGTCTTCTTCCAGTGCTATGGGTGGGAAGTGGAGATTTTTTGGCGGCGGTGCTTTGGAGGTGCTGTGGCCTTGCTTCCTACAATCTCTGCTTAAGGATTCTGATGAGGGCAATCTTCTTCTCGATGTCCTACCCCACTCGACCACCGGGCAGCCTACGGAAAGGATTCTTTCCTGGGTTTGATGGGATTTTCTTTCCCGTGGTTGGTCCTTCTCTCTAGTAGCTGCTGGGGGGTGACCCAGGGTAATGTGACGGTAGCCAGAGCATATGAGCCAGACGGATTCAGGAACTGAAGGGAGCTTTGAAAGAGGAGCGGCTGAGCGCCTAACGAGTGGGCGCGGTGGCTCACACCCACTGGCCAGTTGGTCCCCTCTGAAGCTTTCGCTTGGTCTGGACAGACGGGGAGATGACGATGGTTTTGAAGAGACGATTGATGACTCTTTGGTTTTACGCAGCGGATGGGTGACACCCCTTTGAAGTGGCTGACCCACAAGCAGCTGCTGGGTCGGGGACTCTATCGTCTTTGGAGGCGCCCCTTTTCTGCTCTGCGCGAGTGATGAGCTGAAGGGAATCCCCAGTAGTTTTTGTTCAACTTCAAGCAGATTCCCATTTTATTTTGTCCTGCCTTTGGGAGACGAACAGGGGATCTTGGTGCAGGAGGTTGACCGTGTGCCCCCCACTTCAAGACTTGATCCTTTTCCAAGATGAGCATACATACCGGCTGCCGATCATGATGCAGGTGGTAGCTGCGGATTTTGATCTTCAGGGGTCACTACTTTTGGAACGCCCGTATGCACCTTCCATGATCGATTCAAGAGGGTTGTTTGCGTTTGGGGGTCCTCCATGTAGATGTGGTGAACTCGAATGTGGACTTTGACGCAGAGATTTTGGTCTGGCCAGGTTGCTTTGTGAGGGTCAGGTGTGGACCCGCCCGTGATGACTTGGAGACGGACATTTCTTCATGTTCTACGACCTCGGGAGTGTCCAGCAATTATTCAGGAGAAGAATCACCAGAGGATTACCCTCTCCTGGCTGATACCGACGTTGAGGAGCGCGAGGCAAATACCTATGCTGCTCATGATGTCTTTTTTTGAGGTTGAAGCATTCCAGCCGGTGCTCGATTTTCCTGAAGAGACATACCATTTGTGGAGAGCTCACAGACAGGTGAGAGGACTTGACCGGCTGAATCTTGACGCTATGGCCTTCCTTTGGGTGCAAGGTTCTCCACCGTTGCTTCTTATACGATTTCAGGCGGAGAACTTGGACTACTACCTGGGGTGATGTGGTGACTCTTTCACCGGCACACCTGATCCCACGAGTGAGAGCTGCTCTTCGCCATGAAGTTCCACCTCATCAATCATGAGCTGTAGTCCCCCAGACTGATGATGCCTTGAGGGACGTCAGGACCACTTTGAAATGCTGGTTCAGGGGTCACAACGAGGAGTTCCATCCTTGGTGATCTTCCACTATGGCACTGAGGCCAGACCAAGAACCCGTAAGGGGGCGCCAGTCTCTACTGGGAGCCCGGTGACTTCTCTCGAGATTGTATCCCAAGCGGGGGGGGCAGGTCTTTGCCAGGCGCTCATGATGCAATGTCTATGCTACCTGGAAGGAGTGGCCCCTTTTGGTAGGGGTTCGGTGCTACTCCGTGGTTGGCAGAAAATTGATGTACATGTGGTGGACCAGAGTAGAGTATGTGAGCAAGAGGTGCCTCAGCAAAATCCGGCAGATGAAGAAGAGGATCTTTTGGCTCTTTTTGACCTTGGGCAACATGAAACAGCGGGTTCGAGTTGGGCTGATGCGCGACAAGTGCTTGTTGATCGACAGGACACTAGCTGACCCGGCTGTGATTGTTGTGTGGACATTTCAACTTCGCTGGGCCTGTGTCTCCTTCTTTGAAACCCGCACCTTCCCGGCCCTGTTAAACGCGCTCCCGTCATCCTTTTTCCCGCGGGAATTGTGGCAGAAGGTCAAGCTCTACCTCCCCAATCTGCAGATGCGAAGGGAAACGAGGAGTGCCCAACAGCAGGAGGCCATGAGAGAACGATGGGAACCTTATGGCCAAAACCCCCATAAAGTTGAACGAGGAGGTGCTTGCTCGACCGGTGGTGGACCCGTCCAAGTGTGTCCAGCATCTTGCTGACCTTCCAACGTTGACTCAGATTGAGACATCCTTGAGGAGTGGCCCGCATGTCTATGACGCAGTTCTGCGGGTCATTGTGACGAGGATTCACGCTTTGTTTTGTGATTCCTTGATGGCTCATGCTGCGGCAGACTCTCCGCCGGGGCAGATTGAATGATTCAAACACCAGGAATGTCTTTTTGGCAGCCTCTATGGGGGACACACAGATCTCCAGGCCCCACAGATGACTTTGAGCCAAGAGGGCTTTGAAGAAGAGCTCGTTGAGCGGATGCTCCACTCGCACGGAGTGCTCATTGAAGGCATCCTGAAAGCGCTTATGCGTGAGTTGCATGGCTTCACCTGGTCCGCGATTCAGGGCAAGGGGGTTCGCGCAGAGGGAGTCCGCTGGCTGACGCGCTTAATTTTTCATTGCCTCATGAGCCCCATCGTCAAGCAGATTGAGGAGCGGGTCGGAGACCGGCCTATTCAACGACAGGCGTGAGCAGCTTTGCGATGCCAAGCTGTTCAGTCAGGTGGTCTGGGCTGACGACCTTGCTGCGCCATTACTGGCCACTCACAACGCAGAGACTGCTTCTGCGGCGGTCTTTGCGAGTAAAGGCAAGACAGAGGTGGCGGTGACTTTTGCCAGTCACGACGCCCGCAGATTCCGGGAGCGGCTTCGGCAGGACCTTCCATGCCAGTTGAGGTGGGTAGCTCTCCAAAACCTCTTTTCTTGGTCCTGGGGAATGCCTGTAAGCACCTGGGTACTACGGTCGTTGCATTTGGAAGTCAAGAGGTGGATTGGACAGGCCTGGAGTACTTTCAGGCAGCTTGCCCGTCCCATCTTTTTGAACAAGGCCCTTCGGGAGTGCGCCCGCATCTTCTTGCTCGAAACTCTTGTTTTCCCCAAGTTGCTCTATGGATGTGGCAGCTGGAGTGGACTGACATGTGCTGATATACATAGGTTGACAGTCTGCTATGTAGGTCTCCTACGACGAACAAGATGCATGGTGCATCTGTTCTGAGTGATCAGGCAATTCTGCAGAGAACAGGCTTGCTCAGCGGCGGTTCCTTTTGGCTGCGCGTATAGCTCGCCTTGTCTTCTACCTTTTTTGCAGCTGGCGCCGATGGCCACACAGAAGGCATGGAGGGTTCATGGCGAGCTGCCACATAGGCAGCCGTATTGGTCCAAAAAAGCACTCGGGTGGAACGCAACGGCTTGGATTGCTGCCTTGCCCGGAAGTGGCAACTACTAGCCGCGGCCGCGGCATCCGTGTTGTCAGGCACATGTTCTTTAAGGCAGCTGCGGGCCCTTGTACATTAGCCTGCGCCTGCCAGAATTTAGCTTTTGGCGTTAGCTGCTTGCACTCCATAAGCCGAACGGCTTTCGAACGGATGCGAATGAAAATGAGAATTTAAAATGTGTGCAGTTTTCGTGCGACATGCGCGCAACACTGTTGAGGGATAGCGTGGAATTTGTTGCACGCACTGCTCGGAACAAGTTTTCGGATTTACCGCACATGATGCGTCTGGACTGCGGGAGCTGTGGTAAACGTGTCGACAAAAACACGTCGAGTGTGAGCTGAACTGGGCGGTTTTCGGGTGACCGTCGCACATGATTTGGCCGATTCGGTGAAAGTGTGAAAGTGATATCATAGTGATGGTGTGGCACCTTGTGCAAACTCGTGTTGGTGGGCCGGTGTGGGTGTCGCATCTGGGAGTCTTGATGCAGACCCATCGCGATGAGGATGGCCGTCCTCATCCTAAACACATGTTTGAAGTCTTCATAAATCCATAAAACATGTACACTTCAAACATGAAATTCATCCTTATCTTCAGTGATCTTCACTTATACGTGTGACATGACAATGTACACTTCGTACATCACACATTGATCTTCCTACTTCCGACACTTCACAGCGCATCACGCCACATCAAGCCCTGCCCGGACCATCAAGCCCGGCCTACTTGTTGACTCTACATATTCTCATTTTCATACTCCGGTGTTTTTGTGCCCTATCGCCTACTTTTCTAGTGTTCGGGCCTGTCACTTTCATTTACAGCATATGTTTACGAATTGAGAAAAGCGAAGACGAATACCATGAAAATAGGTCGGGTGAGCAGGAACTGGTTGCAGGATTGACGACTTTCGAGGTTTGACGAATTAGCAGATGGATATTGAAATGTCGAAACATGTCGCATGCGAAAAGTTCTCTCTACCTTTTTCTAGAGAAGAAGTAACAAGAAACTACTAGGGGTTCCTGGTCGTACTAGGGGCTGGCATCGCTACTAGGACCATTCTTGCTAGTAGCACGGTTCGCTATGAAGAAGTCGAAACGACAAACTTGGGCACACCTTGGCGATGTGGGCACCGACATGGCGCCGCGGCATCAACGCTGTCGAGCTCTAGTCTACGCAGGCTTAAAAAAAACAAAAAATTGTTAATTGAAGGATTTGATGTAACAACAAATAGTCAAAACAACACACACAGATTTTTGATGCTGTATAAGTTTGGCTGGCATCTTGCTTCAAACCAGCAGAAGCAAGAACCATACACATGTAGTTGTTGCCTGGTGCGCTTGGTTTAGTTCGTTACCTTCTGTAAAGAGTAAATCAATGCAAAAAGACAGTCCAAAAAGATTACGAAGAAACACCTTCTGGAGATAGGGAAAAAAAAAAGAAGGAAAAAACACTGTTCAAGTAGAGGGGGATCAACATGGACCAAATATTTGTCATGCTCTCAGTTTCGCAAACAGAAACACAATTCCGTTTACAAAATGAGACGAAACACACAGGTTCAATGTGTGCCTGGCGGTGTGGTTCAGTGCTCGCAGCGACGCCCCATTCTTCCCTTACACACCTAGTGTTCTCAGTTTCTGTTTCTTAACTTGTACAAGTTAAGTCCATCACCAAATCCGAGTGCTAATCCGAGTGCTCATATGTAGCTTCCTGCTATCTAGCGTCTCTAAGAACGGCTTCGATCGATCGTCGTCTTCACCCACAAATCCGAAAAAGAAGGTAACGGCATTCGAAAAGAGCGGATTCTGAGTCTGTGACCCGGTTTCCTCAGGTTGTGAACCTATCCACCATTCATCAACCTGAGTGAGACCTGTTCGAAGCGGCATTTACGGCAAAATACAGTGTGTTTGCTACATTTCTTTCGCAAGAAGTTATTTTCCAAGCGCACCTCTTCTGTCATTAGCGTTCCCTTCTTGACTAGTTTGCTCGAGTACCACGAAGTTCCTCCTTTGATTCTTCAGCCTGTTTATCATTTGTCTCTCATTAAGCTGCTCCTGCCTTTATGGCACCAGACCCTATCCTTGAAGTCATTTCACCACCAAACACCATTCACTTAATGCAGTGTTTGCCTCATATGTCTTTTCGCTTTTCGTTGGTTCTTGAGATTTTCTTCACATGTTTTTAACTTTTGTGGTGTCCACGAACTGCTCCTGCTCTCGAGTTTTTCTGGTCACGTCGTGTTTTTGCAATGCTCTTGCTTTGATAAGATAGAGAAGCAAAGAATGGAACACCGGAGAGCAATATTCAGACAAGACGAGCTAGACCAGATCCCAGGGAATTGGTCACCGGCTCAAGCAAGGGAAACACCTTGCTTGCATGTATTTACACATTTGCACATTGCATGTATTCTCGTCATGGAGGAAACAAACTCGTGCAAAGGAAGGTTCTAAAATCGTATTGAGAATAGAGGCTTCTGGACGGTAGGACAGTGCTTCATACATCCCCTTTCCAATCTCTAGTGACTCTAGTCTTGTGATTTTCAAAAGACAAGACATGTTCTCCGATTGTTTCTTCCGTTTCTTTTTGTATTTTCTCTGTCTTTTCTTTCTTATGTTTTTTTTTTTCGTTCTTCTTTTCTCTTTCTTATTCTTACTATTGTCCGGATAAGGCTTCGAACCCCGAAAGCCGGGACGTGAGCTCGTTCCAAGGTCTGACGGGAAGTCATCCATGGCCTCGACACGACCGAGGTCACGAAGCCTCGTTTGGTTTGTCTCTTTTTCTTCGTTTACCAAACTAAGCTACTAGGAACAAGTGCATCGCTACTAGTAACAAGTGCCTTACTAGTAGTAACAAGAAGCTATTAGAAACAAGTGCCTTACTAGTAGTAACAAGAAGAATTTAAACTAAGCACCAAACAAAGGCCGAGAAAAGACGAAAGAAAAAGACGAGAACAGAAATCCCTCACTTGCCAGGCGCTCATCGACGGGACAGCGCAACGTCTTCATTCAGTTGGCGGGAGCTCAAT